TCTCAAAAAAAAAAGAATAGGCCTTGAGAAAACCCAGGGGATGTGTGATTTGGGGCAGACTGCACCACAGGGGATAGAGTGCTGACTTCAGGGAGTGCTTAGCGTATCATCTGGAGCTCTGTGGAAGTCTTTTTCTGAAATCTGAGGGGCCCAGAGATAACCAAGAGGAAATTTTCCTGCTGATTTAAACCCCCTTGGGTTTTCCAAATCAGTATCTAATGTATTTGCAAAAGCATTGCAACTGCTAATCACTCCCATGGCCTCATCTGGCCAGCCAGCAACAGGCTACAAATCAATCTTTGCACAAGGTGTTTGTTTATAATTTATGGGGCTGATAGGAAGGCAGAGCCATCTGCTCCTCTGGGCATCAGTATTTCTAACCCCTCCCATTCCCTGCTAGGGCATTTTTACTTGGAAATCATTTCTAATTGAGTGATTATGTTGCAGAGTCTGGAACATGGTTTCCTGCTGGCTCTTGTGTTGTTTTTTCTACCCCTAGAGCTCCCCTCTGAAGTTCTTAAGCAGTTTTGATTTGAAAGTCCTTTTCTTTCCTAGTCTTTATTTCCATTCTTAGCTCTAGCTAACTGTCCCGTCATCCTTTCCAATATGGGTTTTGCATTTAAGTGAAAGCCATTTGCTGGCGCTACAACTCAAGGATCCAGAACTGCTTGGTAAAACAACAGTTCTTTTTTTTTTTAGAAAGAGCCTCAAGCTATTGCCCTGGGTAGAGTGCTATGGCATCACAGCTCACAGCAACCTCCATCTCCTGGACTCAAGTGATTCTCCTGCCTCCGCCTCCCAAGTAGCTGAGACTACAGGCACCCACCACAACACCTGGCTATTTTTTGGTTGCAGCCGTCATCATTGTTTGGTGGGCCCGGGCTGGATTCAAACCCGCCAGCTCAGGTGTATGTGTCTGGCGCCTTAGCTGCTTGAGCCACAGGCACCAAGCCAAAGCAACAGTTCTTTAAGTGTCAGCCTAAACCAACAGCATCAGAGACACCTTCGTATTTTCTAGAAATGCAAATTCTCAGGCCTGGCCCCAGCATTCTATGCTTTAGTAAGCCTTCCAGGTGATGCATGCTAATTTTGTCAGCTGCTGTGGTAAGGCAAGGCGTGGAGCACAACAAAGATTTCCAGGGATGTGGAGGCTGCTGGTGTCTCACTCAGTATTTTCATTCCCCTTTTTCTTTCTATCTGCTTATTTTATTATTGGACCCAAAAAGGATTTGGGTTGTCTTTTGTCACAAGTACATTAGTTTCCTATGGCCAAGAAAACAAGTAATAGATATCCAAGAAGTCTCTTCCGAATTAAATTAATTCATCAAAATTTCAGCCTTACCCGAGGAAGCTACACAAGTGAACTGAAGCAGTGACACTTGCCAGCACCGTCATAACTGAACACTTCCATTTGCACGTGGGAAATTAATAGACAACAAGCAATAAATGTAGGTTGCTAATTGGAACTTTTAAATAAAAAGGGTATTATAAACATACCACCCAGTGCTCGCTAAAATGGAGATACCAAATCATTTTGTGCCTATTGCATCTCCCTTTTATTAGGGTACAAGTAAAACCCTAGACAATTAGCTGCAAAATTTCTGAGACTGACTAGGCTGCTGGAGAAGCTGTTATAATTTCTACTGTTCTCTTCTTATTTATTATTTCCATATCTTTCTGAGCTTATTGCATAGCTGCGAGAAATTGTGAAATTAGGCGAAGTTAGGGGAGGTGGCAAAAAAATTGGGAGCTAGCCATTGACTTGGAATCATTATCATATAATATAAATACAGTGGCCTGGATTTGAGGCTGACAAAGTGTTTTTTGTCTATGTGCCCAGTTTTTCAGGGGCTTAGAGCCAAGCTTTCTAGCAGAAAGACAACCTTACCTGTATTCTATTCCTAGCCTTTGTCCCAGTAAACAGTCAAATGCTTTTTTCATATTGGGCATGAGTTTTGAGGGTCATTATCGGCTTCTATATGTTTGAACAAAATACAAATTAATACACATAAGTCTTACTCTGTCACCCTGTATAGAATGCTTTAGAGTCTTAGCTTATAGCAACCTCAAACTTCTGGGCTCAAATGATTCCCTTGCCTCAGCCTCCCAAGTAACTGGTTCTACAAGCACCCACCACAATGACTGCCTTATTTTTCTATTTTTAGTAGAGACAGTCTCACTTTTACTTGGGCTGGTCTTGAACTTGTTAGTGCAAGCACTCCACTCACCTCAGCCTCCCAGAGTGCTAGGATTATAGGCATGAGCCATTGCACCTGGCCAGTTAGATTTCTGTTGACAGCAAGACATAATGGAAAAGCCTACTTTGATAAAATACTCACTGTGCATTTTTGAGAAATTAAATGTGGACAAAATGGCAATTGCACAAACCTGTCTTAAAATCCATAGAGTCCCATCTCTTTTATTTTCATGTCCTACTTAATACTTTAAGTTTCTGTCTCTCCCTGCCTTTGGTGCTTAGTCTAAATTGTTAATTGCTTTTTATCTTTCTGAGCATTATCCCAGTCTCAAAATTAGAAAACCAAGGTGGATTTGCTTCTCTTCTGAAGGTTCTCCCAATTCCTTTGATTCTCTATTCCCAAATGGAATCATGTGTTAATCCAGAGAAGGAGAAGAAGATGTCCTTTTATTTTGGCAATGGGCTTGCGACCCTGAGTAAGTAGCAGACGGTCTCAGAACTAACTAGATAAATCTAGCCATGCAGGCTAGAGCAGATGGTAGATTGGGAAGTGAGCAGTAGAGAGGCCTAATGGTGATAGCAGTGAGTATTTAGATGTCATTATTTTATTAGTTAGCAAACAGAACCATCCTTGTAGTCCCTTCTCAGTTTTATGTGTAATAGTGCTGTAGGTGACAGCCCCAGAGAGTTGGCACAATAGCCTAATCAGTGTGGTTTTTTTTTTTTTTTTTTTTTATATCTTAATAAATTTTATTTTTTTAGCCAATTACCTTGAAAATGTCTGGGAGGAAACCCTAAAATAATGAAGAACTGGAAACTTTAAAAAAAACACAAGGATTCTATTTGTATCTTCAGAGAAAATACAAAGCAAGACATATTAACACCAAAAGGACAAGTATGATGAAGACATAATAATATAGTCCTGAAGATCTGTCTAAGTCTGTGACTCCTATACTAATTGGGGAAGTGTATTTATACCCAGACGGAGATCTTGACTTGTTAAATGTATCTAGACTGATAAAATCCTCATGAGATTTATAAAACGAATTTGGGAATTGTATATAGCTGAATTTTTGTGGGAAAGGCTTTACTACATTCAGAAGTTCTTGAGCATCTTGGTATTTTTGTCTTCTCCTTATGCTTTCCTGAGCTGCTTCACTGTTCACCAGTCCCATGAGCGTCTTCTCCTTTCCCCCTTTCCTCTGTGTTGTACAGGACTCACCACTTCTTTCACTGTGGACTTTTTTTCCTATTAACCTATTTTGCATCTGATTGACTTGCTTTGTTGCAGCCTTTCGTGAATCAACTCTTTGATTGTTTGGAGTATGCACATTTACACCCTCTTCTTTCGTGGAAAATTCCAATGGTCCTAAAGGAATGCCACTCGGGTTCAAAATTTTCTTGAGCTCTTGATAATTTGGCTTTTCGTCATATGCTAAACTATAAGCACATTCCAAGAACTGGGCTATTTCATCTGTGAAGTATTAAATATTTTACATTTCATTCATAATTTGCAAGAATTGTCAAGATTCCACAAATCTCAACATCTTTCTCTCATATACATTCTTACCCCCCCCACACACATCCGGAGGAAATTAGAAATGAAAAATTCAATGAAAAGAACTTTTTAAATGATACTCAAAAGTGACAGAAGTACACTGACCTATGGATTTAATAAGATGGGACAAACTGGTAATATTTTTACATATCTTTGTTGATACAATTATAGTGCATTAATCCTATGGGAGAAACAAATTTGAACAATTAGTGATTTTGATTTATGAGGTGCTACTAAGTACCACATAAATAATATAATAGACTATATACGTGCTTCATACTTTATGTTGAACTTTTAAAAATTCAGTTAAAATCAAGTGCTACTTATTACAAATCTCCTTAAAGGAAAAAAAATCATTGCAAATTTTAATTAAGACTTTGATTTGGGCATTATAACAGTACATGTAGAAATGACCTTAAATACCATATTGTTAGCTATGATTAATTTTAGAATATATGAAACCTCCCTCAACTCCTCCATACCCAGCTAGCCTGGTATATTCACAGCAGTCTTCTTGATTTTAGATCAGTAGAATAAGGAACTGCCACCTTTTATTTTTTCTCTAATGTAAAGAAATGTTTCCTAGAGCAACATATAGCCTTACTTCTCCAAAAAAAAAGGTACATACAAGTAGTAACCAAAAGTTAGAAACATACGTAAATTAAAATGTTCCTATTTTGCATTTTTGTTTCAAATAGAGGTATGATTTAATATTGGGATAGAAGTACCAAAAATACTACATACATTTTAAAAACTGGCATGTTTCATTTGCTCAAAGATATATTTAGGTATGCCTTTCCACTTCCAATCTCAGTACTAACCCAAACACAGGAACTTCTTATTCTCTCACCTAGTTGTTTATGTCCCATGCTGGGGAAATCTGGGAAGCTTCACAAGTCAGCAAAAGTGACTTCCTAATCTTTCACTTCCCCTCTAGGCCCACCTCCATTCAAGAGAATTGCAGAGGCACTCCCTACAGGGAAAAATTCCAAAAGGAATAGTAATCACTCCTTTCCTCTATTAAAGCTAGAGGGGCCATTTTACAACATAGAGTTGAGAGGTTATGTTCTAGTAACATGAAGCTAATGTGGTTAGCTTGTCTCTGGGTTTTCTCCTCCTGGGCCACTATAGCAATCGTGCAACCTACTATTTTCCTCTCTTCTGAGCTACATCAAATTTTGTCATCTAGCATTCAGTCAACCACACCTCTGTTAACTAACAACTGCTGCTGTTTTATCGCCAAATTCATAACATGTTTTGTGAAGCCCCTTGGAGAAGTGTCCAAATTCTAAAGGGATGACCAAAATGATAAAAAGAAAAAAATGACATTCACCACTATTTTAATATAAATATTGTTGTTTTGTCTTTGAAGATTGGTAAGCCAAGTTATGTATACATTATAATTCCATTAACCAGAACGTCCCAGATGGAGACGAGAACCGAGAGTGTGCTGGGAACAAATCGCTGTTACAAGACAATAGAAAACTCGTGGCAGTCCAACTGACAGCAGCTGGGCCACAAAGCCTTAATGGGACTAGGGCTTGGAAAAATGAGGGACCAGAAGGTAGGAGAGGAAAAGAAAAAGATCCTCTGTTACAAATTTATCATACAAACCTGAATCTGATACTATTATGTTAGCCTTTCAAGATCCGGCTTTATTGTATTAACTACATTTTTACATTTACTAGCATCTTTCCAGAGCTACGAAATAGAATGCTTTGAGTGGGATAAAATTACGACATTCTTAAATCATCTGCTTTTTAAGCTAGTGAAATATTATTATCATTACTATCATTTTAAGAGATAGAAACTTTTTTTTTCTTTTAGAGACAGAGTCTACTCTATTGCCCAGGCTGGAGTACAATGGTGCCATCATAGCTCACTGCAACCTCACACTTCTGGGCTCAAGTGCCTCATCCTCCCAAATAGCTGGGACTGAGGCACATGCCACCACTCCTTGCTAGTTTTTCTAATTTTTATAGAGATGGGGTCTCGTTCTTGCTCAGGCTAGTCTCAAACTCCTGGCTGCAAGCAATCCTCCCACCTTGTCCTCTTGAAGTGGAGTGTTAATCCCACTCCTCTTGAGATTATAGGCACGAGCCAATGTGGTCAGCCTTAAAACTTTTAAAACTATTATTGAATTGATGTGGACATGTACGCTGCAAATTTCTTGGTTATTTTATTTCATAAAATGTTTTAGTAATAAACCTTTTGTAAATTAGTTTCTTTAATTTTCATGGTGAGCTTTCCCTCCTTATAACCTCCTAACTTAAGAAATTGTCACTTAAAGTTTCAACATTTTGTGCTTTTGAAACAGAAATATGCATTTTATAAATAACAGTACAGATTCAAATAAATGATTTGTACTGAGAAAGAAAAACTGGGTGTCTCTCTCATCCAGACATAAACCTTAACTCATCTCTAACTGCAGAAGAATCACACAATACACACAGGCCCCAAATAATTTATCTTGTACAATCCAGGGAATCAGGGTTTCTTTCCTAATCCTCAGTTGAATGGTTATCTTTTCTATAGAAGTGACAAGAAAGGTAAGAGATATATAATTAAAACAATTAACGACATCTCCTTCTCTTTCTGTCCCATTGAGTAAAACATTAACTGTCTGACTTGGTAAAAGTGCTGATAAGAATATTAGCCCAAAAGAAATAGTGTCATTTTGGCCAATTTATTTAATGCAGTTATAAAAATAAAACTTTCATTTTCCAACCCATCTCTCTAAATGAGAATCTTCCTTGTCTGGCAGCCTTCATCCTAAGATAGGAACTACAGAAAGGGCAAAGATTTACATGAGGACAGACTTATGGAACTCCTGAAATCCAGGGGTTCACTCCTCTTTCCTTTCCTATGCAAATGAAAGTTCTGGTTTCTAGTTAAAGAAGAGCGGTTTGTCAATATAAATTTAAGATGATTTAATTCTACATGTACTTTTAAACTCTCAGATAAAAACTGATGCTTTTTGACCTCAGCCAGACTTTCAGAAGTCAGCTAAAAACTAACTTTGATACTACCCAAGGTAAACAGAAAACAAGATTCACTCTGCTTATTTGTGTCTGAGCAAAAGCAAGCCTGATGGCAGGAGCTTACCTTTTATCTTATAAGAACTCTAATTCAATTGTTAAATTAGTGCCGAATAATGTATCAGGGCATACATATATATACAAATGACAGGAAATTGGATAATTACTATTGACTTACTATTTAATATTGATAACACTGTGAACTAAAGTCTTCAAAAAGGTTCTACACTAACTTGAAAGGGAAAACCATTTATGAAATACAACTCCGAATCCCCAAATCATAGACCCTTGCTAATCAAAAAAATTTGCTAGCAATTCAGTCACAGCATAACCCAGGTGTAAACAGTGTTCAAGTGTTTAATGTTTTGGTTTCTTAAATTACCAATTAAAAGTAGTCTTTCCTTAGGTCAACTTTATCTTCTTTCAACAATATATTAGGGGACAAAAACAAAGACTTAACTTAGAAACAACAGATACAATTAATTATTAAACTCGCTCAAGATTCTCAAATATTTATCGTTCAAAAAGTGCAATCAGCATAGCCTAGAATACCATCTAAATATTTTCTTATTGGGTTCTTGTATTCTAAAGTCAAAGATGATCTAAATATTCTCTTCTCTAGCAAGCTCTCTGCAACCCTGGTGAGTTTCCTTCTACCCTGAGGGGACTAGGAGTGCCTGGGTTAAGCAAAAGCTACAAAAGTGACAAAGTGTGGGTGACCTGTAAATCATAAAAGAAGGGAGAAGTTAGCATTGACTTACAGCAACTGCTTCCAGAAGGAGCCCAATTAAGCACTGACTCAGGGAGCTCATCCAACAGACTAAAACAGAAAAACACAATGAATTTGTTTTCAGTCCCATGATTCAATGTTTGATTAGAAAGCAAATCTAATTCTGTGTTGATAGGTCACCAAAATTATGACTTTCAATGCTTTTTTTACCTACCTATAATGAATAGGAAGGTTAGTAGCAGTTGGAGAGATCTCTTAATTCCTATTGACTATTTTTATATTATATATTTTAAGTGATTATATCAATCACCTAAAAACTAAAGTAGGGACAGAAAGGTGTGATACTTTTCCTCCCACCTCAGTGACAGGGGGCACAGGCAACACTCCTATACAAGACAGGTTAACAAGAGGAAAGCATAACAAATGTAACTGAAGCTTTATACAACTTTGGAGTCTTCAGAAATGAAGACTCAAAGACCCAGGGAAAAACATGTTATTATGTTCAGATTCCATGATGAATGGACAGCTGTGTAGAAATGTGATTTGACAGAGAGTAAGAAGACTAGCAGGGGTGGAGGGAGACCCAGGGAGGTCTCTCGGCTTCTTCCTGCGACACTCCCTCCTCTCAGGTAAGGAGCAGGACCCCTCGGGAATGAAGGTCCTCGAGGGAGAAGGAAGAGTGTGACCTTTTGGTGGGAAGAAGAGTTCTAGTTTCCATGACCTTCCTTGAGGAAGAGGAATTGTGGGTTTCTCTCTCACTATGGAAAAGAAGGAAGGGTGAGGGGTGGGAGAAGGGCAACAGGAGGGTAGGAGGTGGAGAGACTGCTTCTGAGGCTTTCTACTCTCTAGTTCAAAGCACTCAGTCTACCAGCACTAAACAATGTAGAAATTACAGTATAAATGCTTTGACTCCAAGTTTGTACAAAGTAGGGATAGGTGGCATAATTTCTGTGACATAAATTTTGAGTCAAAAAATCGTAATAAAGGGCAATATCTGAATTTTGGTGAATTTTTCTCCTTAGGTATTTAGCATTTGAGAGGGTGTAATTATTTAATTATTTGTGCATTTTGTTCTCCAGTAGGCAGTGTTTTATGCAATCCTATGTTTGGGGATGCTCAAAAGGTAAGTATAATGCAAATATTCCAAAATAAAAAAAAAAATCTGAAATCTGAAACAATCTGGTCCCAAACATTTCAGGTAAAGAATATTTAACCTGTATAAATATTTAACTAAAATTATTGATATGAGTGAGTGATTCACATGCAGAACAGCAACAATAAAGCCATTGATCTAATATCAACCTGTCAGAAAAATAAAGGGCGTAAGGGAGATACAGTGTTATGGTTGAATGTCCAATCATGCCCTTATGGGGAAAAGCAGTGTTACACTTTCTCTGCAAATTGAATACATTATAGTTATGCATTATATAAGAAGTTTGAGAATGCCTACAGTTTATCTGAATTATAAATTTCATAATATGATACTAGCTTTACAGGTCTATAGGTATGTATTATTATGCAAATCAAAATGAGGATATTAACATATGTAAAAGTCCCAAAGTATAAATGGAGATTATCTTTAATTTATCAGCATGCTATTTTATGATGCCCTATTATTATATGTGAATACACATGTTGATATATTCTCTATAGAAACCTACAACGAATATATCCATATATGCATTATGATAAAGAACTAAAGGAATAGCAGTCTTATTAGAAGAAAAATACATATAATAATTAGAATTAAAATGCTAGCCTTTTAAATGACATTACTACTATGACATATGCAAATCAAGTAAACTGATCTGGAAAACTGGATACCAAAACTGTTTACATATGCTCATAATTATGATTTCATTTGACGCACATTTTGAAAAATGTCAGTAACATGAGGGTTATTGTGAACACAATAATCACCGCAATAAATAACTGATTTAGTTCTAATACTGGCTTATATAAATGTTTCAGTTTGGGGTAAGGGACTAGGATTACCAAGATTCCAAATGGAGAAATATTTCACATAATATGGATCAGTATTTACAAATATAATTTATATTATTCTGAATCTTCAGGCTATCTTTTCTATTAAAAACTGATGCCACACTGAATTTTAATATTGATTTCTACAAACTGGGTACCCCCTCACCCTCTGTACACTTCTGTTGTGACTTGTTCTACTTACAACCTAGCTGCTTTTTCCTATTGTGATATCTGTGGATAACTACTGTTGAGCTTATCCTGGTATATAATGAAAAACTGGTTATTCTGTTGCTATATGCAATTGACTTTTTCTGAGGCCTGATCAGTGAGAGAATTGTAAAACAGTAACTAACATCCGCTGTTTTTAGTCTGACCTAATTCTTATGCTAACAGAATCTAGGTGATAAAAATCGAATGTGGAATATTAAAAATGTTTATGTGGCTAAGGATTATCTCATATAAACAGATCATATAAAAATTCTGTTTATTTCTTAAGCAACAAAACATACTTCCTCCATGATAGGAGTAAGAGGTAAGTTGCTCTCACTCAGAAAATATAAGCCCTGTTTGTCCCATTTCACACTGTTGCTTTGCACAGTTAGTATCAATCATACCAAGCTCATAATGCTTCTCTAAACTTGTACAATGCTAATTTGAAAAGAACAATCCCTTGAAAACACTACCACCTAGAATCTAAGCTTTAGAAAACACTACGTAAAGGAATAGATATTTCACTTTACATTTTGCATTGTAATTCAAATACATGTGGTCTTACAGATATTATCTTAAGGGATTTTATGTCAGTTGTCCAGTTTAAAAAAAATATGTATTTTTCAAAGTAAAGACATTTGCTTTGGTTGTCCTGTTGGGTGAACGACAATCTTCCCGGGGATATTAGTTCCCTTTCTATATCCCTTCAGGCTGGGTGCTGTAAATGATGAAATATTTGAAGATTTGTACTTTGTTTTAGCAGTCTGCACAGCCTTGGGGTCCTTCAGGTTCTTTTCCCAGGGAAGTTTCCCACACAGCCACCGCAGCATGCAGTAGCCAAGGATTTCAACGTCACTTCGTCTGGACAGGGCT